TAATATCTTGTGTCACAGCAATCCTAGTTCAAATAAAGCATTTCTTATATGGCAACCCCCCCCCCCCCCCAGATGCATGGCGCCAGGAACAGCCACTGGTGGCGCTGTATACAATTAAAACCTATTTAGGCTTGCTTACGCTCATGCAGACTACAGTGTACAAGCCATAAACACTTGTTAAATTTGGTGACCAGTTTAGTATGATAGAAAGCGTGTACAGTATTCAAATTACCACAATAGACAAGTGGGGTCAAGACCGAATATACATGATTCTGGCGTTTCATAATAAATGCTTTCTATTAATAATTTAATAATTGCACTTTCAAATAATATTCATGAGATATGTCTTCGTCATAACCTCGTTAAAGGTTATGAGCATATTGTGTATGCAGTGCGCATGCTTTGGTCCCTTTTTCCATATTCCACAACCAATGCGTCATCACAGTGAGGTCATTTGCAATATACGTTTTATGTAAGTTACGTTCAGCAGCATGGTGCTGCTGTAACAAAAATAAAATTCCCTTCTACCGACTATCAGCAAACTGACATGTTTGTATTTTCCACCATGACAAAGCAGGAGTATTTTTACACCCCAGTATTGCTACTTCCAGGAAAGTGGTCTATTTCAACTCACTTAAAGCATGCCCTCTATGGCAACTCAAAAAAGCATGCCCTCTATGGCCCTCTATGAATCTTGTGATGAGTTGTTATGTCACAGTCAAGGTTAAAATAACAGTGTAAAACAAAAAAGACATGCGCAGTATTATTAACAATGTAGCCAATGGGGTTCCATATAGTACAGTCCCAGGAATTGACACTACTCCTTTATAACTCCATGGGAGATTACAGTGCAGCTTAATTTCTAGGCAGTTTACTTGGCTTGGATACATGTAGCTGTAATATTATAAGGTTATTACGTGGATACCGAAAAGTATGCACAAAGACAGTACAGCAAGAGTATCGGCCAGCGTATCGATGCGACCACATACTGTCTGAGTGCATACTTTTCGGTATTCTCATAATAACCTTATTATTATACATCTTTTTCTCCCAGGGATACAGCATGGGAATGCCAAAATACAAAAAGTTTAGAACAGATTGAGCAAACTTCTTAGTATGGGGTCCGGTCAAACCCTGGGGGCTGCCATGTTTGTTTTTATTATTAGAGGACTCTTATGCGCGTAATTGTTCCATATTTGGAATTTGCAAATTGTAAAATACTGCAAAAAAAATTACATCACGCTATAACTTATGGTGTTACAATGAAAGATGTATAATAATAACTAATTATTTATCACTCCGGAAACAATCACTTGACTTGTCTTATGATGTAAGATGTTTACTGACAAGCACACTGAATGACGTAGAGGAGAGCTCAGGCCGAGGATATTAGACATGCTTTTGACTTGAGTGCTTTTATATATATATATATATATGCATTGATTTCCGATAACATTGTGCTGTAATTTCACAGTTGTACTAACATAATTCAATATTTAATGTGATCTTTCACTGGACAGATTCTAATACAGACTTTTCGTATGTATTGTAAACCAAATGTTCAGAATATTCATAGGCAGACATGTTGTGTCCTTGAATGACATTTTAAAATGTAATACTATATTTCCGGTACAGTATTTGCTTTATTAGTAGCGCACACACTTATACTTATACTCAAAATTAGTCATATTTTAATGATCTTGCAGACAATATATATACTGGTATTTAAAGCCAACAAAGGTGCGATACGAGTCAACAATTTTGTTGGAAGTTTCAGTAATACCAACACTGATTCATATTCATTAAAAGTTTCATTCATGTTTGTGACCACAAATGCTTCTAACAGAGAGAATATGGAATATAAGATACTGCTTTGATTTCACAAATTTTCTTAAAATTTGACTGGGAGGGGGAATCGTGATTTACTGTGGCTGTAAATTCTTTGGCTGGGGACATTGAACCCTGTAAAGTCCTTATAATTATTAAATCATAGTAATTTCCCATGACAAAAATTTAAAAGTTTATCTTTTACTTTCTTTCAGTGATCCGTATGTGAAAATACACTTATTTCGAGGTGACCGTGAAGAAGGCTTGATTTGTTCTGTAAACACCAAAACCATAAAAAAGGTAAAACTGTCTGTTTTTCTATTCAATAGCATGAGTTATTTTTTTATTTCATCTATCTAATCTTTGAAAAATTTAAAAAAAAAATCCAATTCATCATTTCCAACTTTGTGTAGCGTACAATAAACTTCCTTGAATTTGAAAGCTTGGATTGATTAAAAGCCTGGAGGCGTGAATGGGCAAGAACACAACAAACAAACATCTGTATTGAATGTCATTCTGATATTGTCATACGTTGAATAGACAACTACTTTTTATAATGAGCATTTCTAGTAAAAAAAAAAACCTATAAGCTAGCAGATTTTTATCTGGAGAGCTTTGCATAACTAAATCCATGATTTTTCAATTCTTACTGTTTAAAGGTGCAAAGTGAAATTTACGTATTCATGCTTATGAACAAAGAGGCACTGCTGTAAAATACTTTATTTTAGCTGGAATTAATTTTCGCTGAAAAGACTTTTTGAGTGTTTTGTACGGAATTTATTTTCACTGATTTTTGTTAAGATGAATGTAAAAAATAGAAAAAATAGTATATTTGCTTGATTTTATTTTAATTGAATTATCCTTTCATCGAAAGTACTGAAAATAAATTCCAAGCAAAAATAAAGTATTTTTGGATAGTATATTGAAATTGTGCTAATTTGTGGTGCAAAATGTCTTGTACTAAGAGTCTTCTATTCCTTGTGTAGTTACTGTACATAATTATCACAATGATAACTATATTTCTTTCATTGATTTTTCAAAGTTGAACTAAACTAGAAGCCCTTTAGTCCTTCATCAACAATGCTAGACAATCTTGGACCATGGCACCATTGTTGTTAGCTCCTAGAAGTAAATTTTTAACACGCTCCACAAAATAACGCCACATAATTTTCAACAATTTAGACCCAAGGACTGTAAGGCATCAAAAATTCTTCCATTTGGTCAAAATTCAACAAAGATATTACGGTATAGAGATATATAGAAAAATGAGTAAAATGTTGCTTCCAGATTATGGCGAGAGAAATAGTGGGATTGGTTTATAGAATTATGGCCTTCACCTGTCTTTACTGTTTCTATTTCAGACTCTGAATCCAAAATGGGATGAACAGTTTCTATTCAGGGTGAGTATTATTGTGCTTTATAGCTTCCTCCTCAACTGAGGCCATTTTATACTACGTTCACGTTACAGGATCTCGGCACATGCCAAAATGTTTAATCTTTTGCAGACGAATTACATCAGTTTCTTCATTTCAGCAGCCATGCTATGGTTGAGTTTTGTAAAATTTTCTAAAAACATGTGTCATTTATATGATCAGTATCTGAGGGTCAGTACTCATCAAGATAGTAAGAATGTAAATGTTATTCGAGTTCTCTTGAATGTTGCTGCCTGGGTTCCTGATGCAAATTTATTTTAAGTGTCACTGTCATTGTACCGACCGTTTCACGTTTGTGATGGGTCCCATATTTTTGTTGGCGCAGGTGGCGTTATATAGTTCTATTCTGGTCTTAGCCAGAATGCTAAGAAAAATGACAATACAATATTTACGGTACAATGAGAATGTAAACGAGCCTCATGATGGTGAAATTAAATAAGGGCCTTACTTAAATTACTTCTCTTAAGCAAATGCTATCTAGCATGTTATTAGTCCCTGTTCGAACGAAGTCCGAAAACGAGGACTTAGAATTCGGTCTTCGTCCGTGCGTCTGTGCGTCCATGCGTCCGTCCGGAGTCGTATCTCAGAATCCCTTGGGCCGATTCCGTTCATTCTTTGCATGTGCCTAGTACTTTTTGTGGGACATATGCACATGCAGTGGTTTAGCGATTTGATTCAAAATGGCCGATTGGCAGCCATCTTGTTTTTTGAAAATAGTGTATTTTGGACATGCTTTGGCAGTTTTCTTTTAAACTTGGTACATAGATTATACATGTTAGGATACATGTCCATGACGA